AGGCAGCAATCCATGAGGGGGTGAACATGGTTAAGAAAGATCAAATGTTGAGTGAAAATAAGGTTTTAATGGTAATAATGGTTACGGCAGCAAGGTTAATCTTTGCAAGAAACTGGAAAAATGATAACCAATTTAATAGATAAATGGTATAGAGAATTATGGGATATGGCAATTAATGATACTGTAAATTGACATGTGATATGAAAATAAGAGGCCTATCAAAAATAATGGTTTTAAGAAAATATGGAGTGTATTCTTGGAATATGTATTTCGGAGAGGGAAGGGGCATACGCCGAGGGAAGAAATAATGAAGTTTTGGAGAGAAAATTGAATGAATATATATATATATATATATACACACACACATACATACATACAATCTACACAACATAAAACAATACAAGTACATACACATAAAATACCAGTGCCACCTTCACCCTCAGAGCTGGTATTAACTACTGTATATATATTTTACAAAAAAATGAATGAATTTATATATATAAAGTAAGACCTCTGCCTGTTACCCCCCCCGGCCCTAATAATTCATGACAGGGATAGAAGGCACCCCTCTACAATTTTTGAGATTTGCTGCCCATGCTCAAAGGGCTATTAGCCCTTAATGACCACTAATTAACCATTATCCGATTGGCAATTTTGCATCTCAGTTACATTTCAGAATCCTCTATTCCCAATATTTCATATAAATATCAGGTTACATTTTACAAATATGAAGAAGTGGGCTACAAAGTCCTATGTCCAGTAAAACATATTTGTCTTTAAGGTGTCACAAGACTCTTTGTCATTGCTGTTACTTTATTTGTTTGTTGTTGTCAAAAATTATTTATTTATATATTTAAACTGCAACACACTAGCAAGATTAACTACATAGGAACTGTAGCAAAAGTAAGGAAACCATAACTAAAGTGTTGTTCTCTTCCAAATGGTATTTAATATTTTTTTATTTAAGATTGCACCTGATCAAATCAAAAACAAATCCACCCTACTAAAAGTGAGTTTATGAGTGTCTTAACAAAAGCATTATAAGTAAAAACAAAATTTAAAAAATGACTAGTTCTCATTTTAAGTCCACAACTGGGACCACTCACGTACATCATAAATGATCTCCAACCCATCCATGACAAGAACACTCTTCCAAGTCCTTGATGGCAGATATATTCTTGCCTACAGACAATTCCCCAATCTCAAACAACTGACACAATGGACTACACAACACTGACAAAAATGAAAATGAAATACTGCTACAAACCCAGATGCCAGCTCTGCCCCATATGTATTCTGGCAGCACAATTACTCAACCTAACAATGTCACACACAATAACAAAGGTACTTCTTCCTGTTCCTCTATCAATGTTATGCCATCTTTTGCCAACTTAGTCTACGGAGGATAAATGTGACAACCTCTACGCAAAAGAATTGTCACAAATCGGACCTCAAGAATGGATACATACAGAAACCCATTTCACATCATTTTAATTTGCCAGGACATTCTAAAAGTGACCATTCTTGGGGGGAAAAAAACTTCAGGACAAGAATCCAGAGAGAGATAGCTGAGATAAAATATATACACATCCTAGACACCCATCTCAATGGACTCAATATAAGCCTAGGCTTTTTAGTGCACTAACAAATATGAACACTACAATAATTGTACTGTACTGTACTTCCAGATACATTTTCCTCCTTAACTGATCCACCTAAAAACTTTAAAGGTAAACCGGAGTCTTAATTAATTACCATGTTGCTCTTGTGATCATCCGTGCCTGGGGTAACACGCACATACTTGTAGCTTTTTACAAAACCTATACAGAAAAGGTCATTAGCAACTGTAAAAGAACAGTCTCCTCAGTATAATTAAAAATCCTATTATTCTACCATTGTTATTCAGGGCAGTGATTCTTAACATCCTTCACAGCACAAGCTTCAATGGAAAACACCTGTATATCAAAGAGGCTATCACCCCACTGTGAGATATCGGTTGACTTTCTTATCAGCTCACATTAAAATACAACCGTCTTTAAAATGCCACTTTGTTTTTGTCTTTTTTATTTGTTTGTTTGTTTTTACCTAAAATGCGTGCACAGGCGAACACGGCGGCCTCTTCTACAACTACAGTTAATAAAAGCAGTGCAACTGCCATCCATTTGTAAGTCTGATATGGAGCGCACAGTATCCTGGCGCTGCAAAATGAACCACCAAGATCTTAAACCTCTCTCGGCCATCACGCTTTACCTACCTGCACAAACTGAAGACTCCACAAGATGGCAGCAGAAAACATTGATTTTGATTGATTGGTTGACGAGCGATCAGCTACGACGACCATCATCCCGTCGGTAGTTAATTTCCCCCCTCGAGTCGGAACTGTTCCGCTCTCTCTCGGGCAGCCTCCTTCAGGAAGGGACAGCTCCTGAGAGCTGACAAGAGAATCGAGGGAAGGGAACTGAAGGAAAGAGGCCAGGCGAGGGTATGGAGGAGAACGGCACAGTCCCCTTTCCTTGCCCCAGGATGAAAGGACACCCGGACCCTCTCTTTCCTCGCTTCCAGCAACTAACGGCTTTGTCCTGGGGAACACATAGCGCAGCCCTTCTCACTGCAAGCGCCTGTGGTTATAATATCAGCAGGTCTTTCTTTTTGCCAATATAGTGAGAGGGACGAACACAATTCTTTGGGAATTAACAGCCGTGTTCGTCCGTCTCAGGTTATTCTTTGGGAATTAAAAGTGAAACTATCTTTGAAAATATAGACTCATTGCTAATATTTCGATGTCGCTCTATACACCCAGAGGACCCCCCCCCCAAAAAAAGTGGCTTTCAAAAGAATCTTAAAATAAAAGTGCACTGAAAACTACCCCGGGGGCATCATCAATTAAGGTGTGCCTTTTCGATTCATGAGTCGAAATGGGGAGAAGCTAAGTCTTCAAGGTGCCACAACGTTTTTTGTCTTATTTTTTTCCTGTTGTTTTCAGTGTGCTTTTATTTTAAGACTCTTCACCGGCGCTGTTTGTGTAATGGAGAGTGAACAGCAAAGGACAGCCTCACACAGAGAGACACACAACATCTGTGTATGTGACCCTGTGTGTTTGTTTAATGGATAAGGGAAGAAAATCACAAAAAAAGCTGTTGGTTTGAACAGCACTAAAGGAGAAGTTTGGAAAACTCAGCAGTGGCCAGAGGATTGGAAAAGATCACTCTACATCCCAATCCCAAAGAAAGGCAGTGCCAAAGAATGCTCCAGCTACCGTACAATTGCACTCATTTCCCACACTAGCAAGATTATGCTCAAAATCCTCCAAGGCAGGCTTCAGCAGTATGTGGATCGAGAACTCCCAGAGGTACAAGCTGGATTTAGAAGGGCAGAGGAACTCGAGACCAAATTGCTAACATGCGCTGGATTATGGAGAAAGCCAGAGAGTTCCAGAAAAATATCTACTTCTGCTTCATTGACTATACAAAAGCCTTTGACTGTGTGGACCACAGCAAATTATGGCAAGTTCTTAAAGAAATGGGAGTGCCTGACCACCTTATCTATCTCCTGAGAAATCTATATGTGGGACAGGAAGCAACAGTTAGAACTGGATATGGAACAACTGATTGGTTCAAAATTGGGAAAGGAATATGACAAGGCTGTATATTGTCTCCATGCTTATTTAACTTATATGCAGAATACATCATGCAAAAGGCTAGACTGGAGGAATCCCAAGCCAGAATTAAAATCGCTGGAAGAAATATCAACAACCTCGGATAGGCAAATGATACCACTCTGATGGCAGAAGGTGAGGAGGAATTAAGGAAGCTTGTAAGGAGGGTGAAAAAGGAGAGCACAAAAAACGGTCTGAAGCTCAACATAAAAAAAAACTAAGGTCATGTCCACTGGTCCCATCACCTCCTGGCAAATAAAAGGGGAAGATATGGAGGCAGTGACATATTTTATTTTCTTGGGCTCCATGATTACTG